CAAAGAACCCCCCCACCCCTGACATACCTCCACACCCAAAGGAGCCCCCAGATCCAAAGGAACCCCCCATCCCAGAGGAGCCTCCATACCCAAAGGATCCCCCAGATCCAAAGGAACCCCCTATCCCTGACATGCCACCAGAACCAGAGGAGCCACCCATCCCATAAGACTCATCAGAGCTGTATGGGGTCAAAGCACCATAAGGCTGGGGAATTGATGTTCCCACAATGCTTTCTTGAGAGCAGCTGCTGAGAGTTGGGCCCGGAAAGGTGAGGACGACCGGTGGAGGGTACACGATGGCTCTGGAGTCCCCACACGATGCCACGCAGGGCTCAAGGCTTCTGCTGTAGGCACATGGCTGCGTGCATGTCACCTCACAGGCGGGCAAGCACTCAGAGCTAACGTTCAACATCATTCTTGGGGAGTGGAGGTGAAGCTGGGAAAGACAACATGCAGTCAGGAAACCATCTCAGTCAGGTGCCAACAGGTTCCCAGCATGAGCCAGGTGCACCTTGTCCTTCTCCTCCAGCTGCTCATCATCTCGCAGTTCAACCCTCCCTCACAGTCTCCATTTTCTCTGCTATTTCGTCCTTGACTGACCCCTTTTAAAGCTTCTTGGTTCTTCTTATTCTTCTGAATCTCTCAAAAAATATTACTCTTTTCTCTGGGACTAAATTACCTAATCCCTATACAGTTACTTGTTCAGAAAAGTCCCATTTGTTCTCTTTTCAAAGTAGACCTACAGGAAGATTTGCCTATAACTTCAGAAAGACTCCAGAGGAAAGAAACAGAATCTTCCTTGCTCTGTTCTTCCCTTTCCCCCAGCTTTTTTAAGATTTCTTGCTACATCTACTCTTCTCTTTACCTCAGCTTTTCTAAAATTGCTAGCATTTTGCAAGATAAAAAAGAAGTTTTAAGTCTTCTATAGCTACGAAGAAGTGCAATGAAGTTAGACTTACCTGGTTGTCTTGGAGGAGTAAGTCAGTGGAGCTGGAAGAATAGAAGGTTTCTTAGTTCTCTACCCTTTTATACAGTTTCTTGGACAATAGGAAGGATATGAGGTCATCCATTATTCACTAAATTATTGTCACTTACCAAGAAAAAGATACTCTTCTAAGCCTTCTGATTGTTTTCATTTCAATTCATAATTAGTGATCCATTTATAGCCCTACTTTGAGTGACGCACATCCAACACCCAGCAGCTTTCTTTTGTCTCAAACTTAATGGAAAAAATCCTTTTGGCATCATTCTGGTTTCAGATAAAAGAGGAGTTGATCTCTCTGTTTACTTCCCTTTACTGCCTTTAAGGAAGGTGGCTTACTGATGTGTCAGTCCCACAATTTATTTGTAAGCCTTAGATTTCGGTATAATACCTCTAAAATGGAACTGTCCGACCGCACCTTGGATGGGGGGTCAGCATTCTTTGCAGCCCTGCCTGTCCAAACAGATGATACAGCACCATGACAGAATCAGGCCTCCCAAATTATTCTTGAGCACTGGCTAGGACAAAGCCCTGCAAGAAGTCTTTCAAAACACACTTAAGTGGGATTGAAATGACATATGACATCTCCTGTAATCTCTGAGACCTCTGAGTAATTGTACCCAAGTATGTATCAAAATTCACTTTGGGATGTTCTACTTAGAGCCTTGTGATGAGGATGCCAGTGAGGTCACTGCAAGGGTGTATCCAAAGATCACCAGGTCTTTTTGCTCCAAGGTGGGTCTCAGAAGTGAGGTTGAACTTCAAAGTTATGTCATGTTGCTCAGCATCGGGGTCAGGCCATTCTTGAAAGCAGAATTATAGGGTTGACCTTTCTGGGGGTCCCTTCTTTGTAAATCATTAGCAAAAAAATAGTAAGCAGGGGTCAACCCGTTTTTTGTTGAAAATCCAGTGTAGTCAGCAGAATGATATTGCATAGGAATTCGGTTTCAACACCACAGAAAGCCCAAATTTATTATATGAGAGTCTTATTATGCAGGTCTGTGGATGATTTACTAATTTGAAACTATGAAAATAATTACAGGCATTAGAGGAGTTACCCGGAAAAAAGCCCCGCAGTTTGGCAAGTGCTAGAGATTTTATGAGATGCTTCACTTCCGTAGAGTTGCCTGCAAAAATGTATAAAAGCAGGAACATCTCAGGAGCCTCCTAAAGCCTTCTCCTGATTTACTTGTCTTGGTGCTCCTGGTGAGTTTGATTTAAGCTAATAATTTCATGTGTTGTGTCTCTGTAGTGATAGTTTTAAATGAGGAATCTTTCCTGTGTCTGTATTTTGTGATTTTAGCAATGAGATAAGATGTCACAGTGAAATCTTACATTTCATAGGAGACTCACTGCAGTAACTTGTAGACAGTGGTAAGAATCAATTTTACATTTAAAGATAGAACGTTAACAGTTACTTTATTTTTTTCTTACATCTCTCAAAACTTGAGGTGCAAATATAAAGCTAAACCCTACTGAATAAACAAGGTCTTGGGTACCCTCCGTAGGGGCAAAAAGGGAGGAAGAAAAGGGATCAGAGGACAGGAGGACTTGAGAGAGGAATAGGAAGCATGAACAAGGATCTAATCTGCCTGCCTAACCCCACTGCTGTCATGTGTGTGATGAGCACCCATCGGCACCTGACTGTGATGGTTTCCTAACTACTCATTGTCTTTCTCGCAGCTTCACCTCAAACCCTGAGAACCATGTACCGCAACATCAGCTCCCGGTGCTTGCCCGCCTGTGATGTGACATGCTCACAGCCATGTGCCTACAGCAGAAGCCTTGAGCCCTGCGTGGCATCGTGTGGGGACTCCAGAGCCGTGGTGTATGCCCCGCCGGTCGTCCTCACCTTCCCGGGCCCGATTCTCAGCAGCTGCCCTCAGGAAAGCATTGTGGGAACATCGTTTCCCCAGCCTTATGGTGCTTTCATCCCATACAGCTCTGATGAGTCTTATGGGATGGGTGGCTCCTCTGGTTCTGGGGGCATGTCAGGGATAGGGGGTTCCTTTGGATCTGGGGGATCCTTTGGGTATGGAGGCTCCTCCGGGATGGGGGGGTCCTTTGGATCTGGGGGCTCCTTTGGGTGTGGAGGGATGTCAGGGGTGAGGGGTTC